CGACCAGGAACAGTGACAGGGTACCGATCACCATATCTAGAGTCAAGTTAATATCATAATTAGCAAGGACCGCAGCGACCAGGAACAGTGACAGGGTACCGATCACCATATCTAGTGTCAAGTTAATATCATAATTAGCAAGGACCGCAGCGACCAGGAACAGTGACAGGGTACCGATCACCATATCTAGAGTCAAGTTAATATCATAATTAGCAAGGACCGCAGCGACCAGGAACAGTGACAGGGTAGCGATCACCATATCTAGAGTCAAGTCAATATCATAATTAGCAAGGACCGCAGAGCTCAGTAAAAATTGGAGGGGTCCGAGGAAAACAAAATAGATATGTGATAATTAACGAGGTCATTGATAATAGTTTATTGCAGCCATGGTTAAGCAATGAGAAGAAAACTGATTATGTTAGACGAGTAGTGCTCCTCTGAAAAGTATGTCTGTAACCTCTATTATATATATCAATGATGATAAAGATTTTATACCACCACACATCACATATTTAGCGCTCAAACTACACATACGCGGAGCGATATAGTTCATGTGTCATGAGAAAAGATTGTTTAACTAATGACTAAAGCGCATGCTCGTTATCTTACCCGATAGTTGTCATGGTAATGAAAGACCACCATGTCCCCTCAAATAAACCTTTCGCTGTTTTCGTTGGAAATTGATCACTGTTACTCGCCCTCTCCTAAAAAAGAAGAGGGTTTAGGGTTAGGGTTAGGGTTAGGGTTAGGGTTAGGGTTAGGGTTAGGGTTAGTAAGGTTAATAATAGGGTTTTATTCATTACGGGCCCTGATTCTTCGTCAAAAATCGTTGTCTATATAATGTGTGCTCCTATTTCAGTGTAGATTACAAGAATGGCATATCAATGACAATAAATCAAAGCTCGATCATGCTACCTATCCCTTTACTATTGTGTACATTAATTCCAGACATTAACATTAAGGTGACATTAATGACGATGATGGGCTATATATTAGGATTGACCCTTCTACATTTTCCCTTGCCCTATCCTGCTACATTTTATCTTGTATACTTACTATGGTCCAAATAATAGCTCCCGCCAGGAACATTAAGGCGATATTAATGACAATGACGGGCCATATATCAAGTATCGATCCTGCTACAACCTTGGCGTATTTATCAAGTGAAGACTCGTTTCTTTTGATGAGCAGCAATGCAGGGACGTTCAAAATGGGTACGTACGTCCCTTTGTACTTGCCCTAAAAAATGTTAATGAGACCAGGAAAATGAAATAACAAAAAGAACAGTCATTCTTTGAATTTAATTTTTTTCGGTTTGATTTTGTCATTTGTCCACATTTAGACAAAAAAAGAAAACACAATAATAATATAATATTCTAATTAAAATTAATTTAATCAGACTATCCCGTCATGCACCTACCTCATTCTTGCTATTGATAGGAAACGTTATATCGATTTTGCGGTTAATGTCGCCAAGGGCCAATGTTTTATTGGCTTTGAAATTGGTTCTTTTGCCTTTAACATCATTAAAAAACTCCACGGATGATGTTTCATGGCTGAACTCACAGCGTCCACAGGCGGCGTCGATAATGTACTCGAGGATGATGGGTAAGATACCGCCAGGTTGAGAGCCAGAGTTTAGGTTTGTGAATGGTGGGCTGAGGAACCAGTTAGTGTAGAATGTGGAAGGGCAACGACATGTTTCTTAAACGAAAGAAAAATTGATATTATAACAGAAAATAGCAGATACTAAATAAACGGCAATAGATCAAAATCCTTTCCTCATTTAGCATCATGTCTACTTTCTAGTATAAAATGAATCTTCTTCATTATTGCGAGCTTTATGCTTTCAACTATTGTACTTATTGCAACAGTGTGAAAAAATGTTTCTCTAATTACAAACTATTCTGCCTTCGCTTTACTGATTGTAAGCTTAATTATTTCATTTCGTTCACGTTTCATTAGTTTTTCTGTTTATGTAATGTCCCAAGTGTATTCGTAAGTCAATTTAGTCGTCCGTTCAGTTAGTTAATTTATTCAGTTTGGCGTAATTTCTGTGTGTGGGTTTGTTCACGATTTGGTAAGTTTTATGTAATTTTACTTCGTTTTACCGGTCCCCAAATGTAACTTTATGTAGGTAATGTATTTTGTATTTGTTGATTGTAGAACCTTAC